GCTACCGATTGTACAGAACGCACATGCACTCGCTACAATCATACGACGAACACGTAGGTACACTGTACATAAATCGTACGTAACTCATAAGAATATTTTTTGTACGTAGTTAAATCTCCAAGTGAAAAACCGCTGCTCTCTGTCGTACGTGCATGTAATATCTGACTATAAATTCGTTCAGCGATGATCTCCGTTGTACCTACGTATAACCGTGCACGACTCGCGACGAGGATGAAATTATCCGAGCTGACAAAAATTGTTCATTTTCGTATGGAAAAAAAAAAAAGAAACAAAACAAAACAAGTTCCGAAAGCGATGAAATTCTTTTCCCTTTACCTCGACGAAATGTGAAACCATATCGGTTCTTCTGAACACGTTCATTGCGTAGAAAAGTCAACGTATTATTTACACATAGTCCGTTCCATAAACATTCCTGTCCTCTATGTCCGTTAAAGAAATTTATAATATTAGTTGAATAACAGGTTCGATGTTTCCGTAGAAACTTTTCATTATTAAGACACATGTACAGGGTGTTCTAAGAATGTTGGAGTTCCTTGAAAATGGGGTGGTTCGAAGGGTGTTTTGAAACAAGTTTTTTCTTAGCGAAAATGTTCGAGACTTCGTTAAGGAGATATTAACAGGAAACAATGGAATGCCCGATAAATTTGACTCCCTATTCTTAGGTATGGTAGACGCGGATACTACAAATTTATCGTCCAAATCTACATGAACTACAAAAATATTTATATTAATTTATAAAGACTCCATGCAGACTGTTAACACTTTATCTACCGGGCTGTTTAGAAACAGCCTTTAATTCATAAAAGAATTTTCTACGGTAGCATATGCCAATCTAGGCTGACAATCATTCCTTCATACTATTACTAGGTACATTGAAAACCAAGTCTGTTTCAAAAAACTGAACATTGTAAGTAGACAACCATGAACACAGTAAGTAAATTCGAAAAGCTAACTACTGGAGTTAAAAAGCCTATAAGTAGACTCCCGGTAAATAAAGTGTTAAGGAGATATTAACAGGAAACCCCGACAAATCGGAGCGCGAGTATGCCAGTGGAACGCTCGCAGTAGTATAGGCCGCTCCGGCACCGGCATACTCGCAGTAACGTACGAGCGTGGCCGCCTAATGTGTAGCCTATACTACTGCGGGCGCTTCACTGGCATGCTCGCGCTCCGATTTGTCGGGGTTTTTTGTTAACACGTTGATCGTCACGTCACCCATATATGGGTGACAGTGCTTTTCACTGAAGAACTAAAAAACTTAATTAAAAGGAAATGAATTTGAATGAAATTCATGAATTTTGATGAAGCTACAAAAATAAATAGCACGATAAACGTTTGATTATATAGTCTCCAATATTCGAAATAATATTTAATTGTAGCAGAAATTTTCAAGAATGTTTATCTAGCAGTGAACGTGTTAATATCTCCTTAACGAAGTCTCGAACAACATTTTCGTTGAGGTAAAAGTTGTTTCAAATCGTCTCCCGAACCACCATTTCAAGGTGTTACAACATGTTTGAGACACCCTGTGTACGTTATAAATAAATTCATTATGTATTTGTAACGAAAACGTTTAGTTGGAAACCTATTATTTAATTTAGATGAATTTTTTCAATAAGCATACAGGGTAGAAATATTTATAGGACTGACTGAACATGCCCTAGGTAGAGTCGAGTGCACATCTCTCTCTCTCTCTCTCTCTCTCTCTCTCTCTCTCTCTCTCTCTCTCGCTCTCACCCGCTGAGAACGATCATCGACTAATTGTTAATTGCAGCTGTAATTAGTGTATTAGATAGCGTAATAGTAACTTACAAACTCTAATTTTTATCGAACGAATAACTGATACACAATTGCTCATCCTTTATTCGTCATTCGAGATATTTATCTAAACAAGAATTTCGCCCATCTCTGTATAAAACACATTCGGCAACTGTTACCACTCGATGAAACACAACCATGTCCTCGACAGAAATGGACAATATTTTATTAGAAAATTAAATAACCATTAAAGCCAACAGCAACTTATTTGACGTCCATTTGTTCATTTCGATACGTTCAATTCTATAAATAAAAATTTCTAATTTCTCTCAAACGAATAACTGACACGCAATTGTCTATCTTTAATTTCGTCCATCGCGGATCCCTTGTAGATCGCTGCGTGCGTTCCACGTGTACGTGTACATTGAATCCTCCGCTTATGCAGTTCATTGCATAAACGTATAAAGTACCACGCGATATCACCGATAAATCGTGGACGTTCCCCATTAATTTTTGGCTCGATAGCAAATTTTTCAAAGCCTAACTCTCGTCTCTGTACAACCGTATCCTACCGGAACTGATCTTTCTTTCTCCCTCCGTTAAAATCACGGAGGGAGCTGTGGGGGAGGGGGGACGAGGGAGATAACTTCGATGTACCTAACCACGTATCTCTCGAAACTTGTGTATAATTCGTTAAGGGATACTGGGATTCTTCGACGATTTTCGGGGTGACTGGAATCGACATAGTAATTAACACGATCTATAGGATACTGTACGTTTATCGGGTAAGCTACGCGTCACGATGTTTAAGTATAGTAACGATATAGATTTTGTATACCGCGTGCGTGAGGATGTAGAAACGAGCATGACAGAGGATAGTGCGTGCAAGCGCGCGTTACAGAATTTACGTTCGACAGGTTAATAAATCGTATTTTCGAAATAAACCGTCCAACATCTTTTCTTCTCCCACCATTAGGGGTGTGCGGGATTCCCGAAAATATCCGGGATTCCCGAGAATATTCGAAATTCCCAAGAATATTCGAGATTCTCGAGTTTATGCGGGATCCCGAGTTGATTCGGGAATTCCCGGGAATTTCGAAATCCCGTTCATTCGGATTGCTGAAATTTTCAAGAATAACAACACTTTCGGAAATCCCAGATATTATTCTACATCCCATACATTGTCGGGAATCCCGAACATTTTTGAGATCCCGTACATTCTCGGAAATCCCGGATTTTTTCGGGATCTCGTGTATTTTCGGCAATCCCGATTCAACTCGGGATCCCGCATAAGCTCGAGAATCCCGAATATTCTCAGGATTCCCGGACATTTTACGAGATCTCGAAATTGTCGGGAATCCCGGATGTATTCGGGATTTTGAAATTCTCGGGATTTCATCCCGATCCCGGGAGGAATTCCCGTCCCGACCGGGATCCCACAAACCCTTACCCACCGTACGATTTTTTTTTTTTTAAATTGCAATGCTTGTTATTCGTGAATTCTTTTTGAGACAAACAAAACATTTTTTTTTAACACGTCGACTGCCAGACTAATACTCTTGAAAATTTCTATCGTGATTAGGTTTTCTTTCTAGACTATTGGAAGCTACATAATGAAGCATTTATTGTGGTATTTATTTTTATAAGTTTATTGAAGTTTAAGAATTTAATTCTTTATTTTCTTTGTTACTGAACATTCAAAATTAATTTTATTTGTTGCGACATGGCGGTCAACGTGTTAATAAGATTGGGGGTATTCGGAAGAACGTTTAGAAGTAATACGGCGTTTACGGCGTTTTAGCTTTTTTACACGGGTATTCAGCGGTGACCAGAATTATTGTTCATCTATCTCAGAACGATATATACGATATATAATGTAAATTATATAAAAAAAATGTTTAAATATTGATCATTTGTCTCAATCGCCACCTAGCGGTGAACAGACCGAACTAAAATTTCGACCTTTGGTCAGCGCCTCTATCAGGAAACCGCTCAAGTTTCTCCTCGAATAGTTCCTAGTTTCATCGCTAGATGGCATTTTTACTGGTTTTTTTACCGACGTAGTCGGTACGTTACCATACCGAACTAAAATATCGACCTTCGGTCAGTGCCTCTATCGGGAAAACGCTCAAGTTTGTCCTCAAGTAGTTCCTAGTATCAGCCCTAGATGAAGTTTTATACTGGTTTTTTACCCACACGATCGGTACATTACCATACTGTCGGTAAATTATGTAGGAATACTACATACAAGAATTGCGAACATGAACTAACACCGAACTTTAACAACAAAAGAATTTATTTAAACAAGAACAATAAAACAAGATTATCAATTTGAATTCAAGGAGCTGGTTAGAAACACGTTCGAACTGTATGACGGTTGATAAGGCAATGTTAAAAATAATTGCAACTAACGGAAAAATGAACAACGCGATAAAAGAAAAACGTAATTAAAACCCGCTACGTTCAAACGCAATAGCCAATTACAAACAATTATCAATATGAGGTATGGAACATGTGTGAAGTGTGATACATGTGTGAAGAACTGTACATGTGAAAATCGATAAATGCGTGTAACCCCACAAACATGTGGCCGACACCTGATAATGGTAACTTCTTTATCGACACCGCAGTGGATTATTATCCTTACTTTGGCGGAAACTTCTTTGTCGATTCAGAAGAGGATCTCTTCTACTGTCTTATGTTTCTTTTATCTTTTTTGAATTTCTTATTGATTTTGTTTGATTAATAAATTGCTTTCTGTTAGTTCAAACGTGTAATCATTAAAACTTGAAAATAAAACCACTTATATTCTAAACATAAATTTATTATAGTCTCAAGTGCTATGAACATCGTGTTAATTGCGTCATCTAGTAGTAAAAAGAGGAACTATTCGAGGACAAACTTTAGCGTTTTCCCAATAGAGACGATCTACAGGGTGTAGACACTAGTACAAGCAAAGTACTCAGGAGTAATGTGAACGATGAATATATTTAACATTTGCTTTTCCCTGGTCACTTGAAACTGAACTGACGTCCTTATCAGTAATTTTTGCATATTTTGCATATTTTTGCATATTACTAATCTCTCTAGAATCAGTGCCATCTAGCCTACTAGACAGAATTTCCGATTTGCGCCACATTTCTAGAATCATAAAAAATGCTGCAGTTTCGTCTCTGTAATACTATTTCGTAGTTTTGGTCGTAACTTAAAATAAATGATCAAAAATAATCACAAACATCGTACGATTATAACCTCCTCCTAATGTTTTGTGTGTTAATATAATGCATTTAAAATGACGCAAGCTTATAACTATTACAGTGAGTTTCAAAAGAACGCAGAATTACAACAAAATCTTAAATACAAGCAAAAATACCGAAGATTAAAGAGAATTGTGAAGGACACAGTTATTGTAAGTTTACGTTTACATCCTAACATCAATTATCTTTATTTTTATGTAATGAATCATTGTATGTAAAAAAGAAAAAAAGTGGAAGTGAATTCGAATTAATTGCTGTTAAAATTATTAAGTATTCTGAATTTCAGGAAAATGCAGCACTATGTGATCAAGTTGCACAAATGCAGGAGAATCTCATGCTTGTGAAAGAGGAAAGATTATTCCTTCTACGTAAATTATGTCAACAACAAGGAGACATAGACCCTTCCACGATGTTACCTAGATCTCAGTCGAATAGTGTTAATTCAGCTTCATTTAATCTAGAATCCTCTACACCTAAGAAAGCTGCAAAGAAAAGAGTTTCAACAGACGGTTCAGGTACTTAAAATACTATTCCTATTTCAATTGTACAAAAATAAATGAACACATTGTCTTTGAATTCATGTTTTTCAGAACCAAAAAATAAAGCTAAACGTTACAACAAAACAATGAGGAAAGTAGTTCAATTAATACCATTAGATGTACATGGAAGACCTATATTTCCTATCGCTTTGGGTGACCTTACTGTATACTCACTTGGTGAAGTAGTATCCGATAGGATAGCATATCATACAGAAGATCTCATTTATCCAGTAGGCTATTGCAGTACAAGAATATATGCCAACTTAAGAGATGTAAAATCAAAAAGCTTATATACTTGTAAGATATTAGATGGTGGACAGAAACCAAGGTAATGTAAATATATAAGTAAATAGTATACATTTTTCCATGAATAGATAAGTAATATATTTTGAGTTATTGTCAGGTTTGAAATAGTATCGGATAATGACCTTGATCAAGCATTGGTTGGATCTAGCCCTGATGAGTGTCATTCAAAATTATTAGTTGCAATTTCTCCTCTGCTTCGTTCAATTGCACCGAAAGGTGCTGATTTTTTTGGGATTTCGCATCCTACTGTACAAAATCTTATACAAAGCACACCTGGGACACGTAAACTGGCCATGTACAAGCAACAACGATTTGAAGTATATGATTTACAATTTTTTCTGTAATTTAATTTAGATATCAAAATTTATCTCTCTTTTTGTATTTAGGTAAGTAAAAATCAAACAATGGAAAGAGGTACGAGTCCAATAACAGAGGAAGAGACAGATCCAGGACTTGGATTTGCTGCTCTACACAGGCATTATGCTTTAACGAATTCTTATAGAATTAAAGAAGAACCTTCCGATCATGATCTTTTAGCTCTACAAGATTTTCTTGCATAATTTTTACATTACTCGTGACAAAATTTATTCTGGTCATAGCAAAAGTTAACTGAGACCTTTGTGTATTAATGATACATGAATTTTATTGTCTCAAATATTGCTACTTACATTATTTATATTGAAACATGGTTTAGAAAACTCCAGTATATTAAAAACAAATTCTCTTCAGTGTAATATATACATACAATAAATATGTAAGAGTGGATGATATTTTTGTAACTCTGTATTGTTTTCAATTTTCAGTACTCTAGAATGTATTTCATGATACCAAATCCAAAATCCGACGTAATTAAATAAACTAATATATACAAATTTACTAATTATTCTCTAATGTAAAAAACACAATTTTAATGGATTTCTTTAAATCAACACTTACAAAGACGAAAACATAGGAAAAAACTGGTAATTCATATTTTTACGTATTTATTTACACGTCATTGTTAATTATTATTATATTATTCATATGGCTAGTACTGATTATCATTACATAATCAGTTGATGATTCTGTAATTATAAGTAATAATATATAGTAGCATTATACTATAAAAATCATATAAAAATTTCATAACTATCAATATTATTTAAATTTGAGAACCCTGTAAGTGTGAAGCCTTGGGACAAATAACACAGCTGACTGACTCTGTGATAAGGCCTAAATAAAATTACAAGAATCAGTAAAATAATAATTATTCCCAGGACATAATCTTATAAATACATACGTAATTGGCATATTATAAATGTTATTGTGTTATATTATCACAAAACACATACATTTTAAACAAAGTTTGTTTAAAAATAAGTTTAATCTAATCGTACGTGATTCGTATTTGTTATTTTATAAAATATTTTGTGAATAATATAATTAAATGATTTATAATTTGTTAATTATAAATCTTTTCTAATAAACATTGTCATCACAAGGTTACAATTCAAAAGTCTTAAACTGACTAGTTGCGGTAAAATGAAATTTGACGCTTTAAAATTATAAAATGTGACAATAAATTCTTTCTCACAACATAATTTTCAAGTACAATCATCAAGTTCAGTAAATACATATAAAATATACATGCATTAAAACGATATGTTTCCTCGCGATCTTGTTTTGCATCTATTGTGTATTACTGTATATGTGTCTTCATACAGTAAGACAAATGGCTGGACTTCTTTCTTGTCATTATATTCATTTTAATATTACATACAGCACAGAAACAAATTACTGTAATATCATCTATGTATTTACAATCACTGTAAATTTATGAGTATTATATAAAGTAAAACATTCCAATCCAACTTAGGAAATATTTGGTTTAAAAAAAAAAACATGTTATATATTTAAATATTTAAATATATAAATACATATTTTATCAACTATCATGATGAAAAGTATGTAATTTTAACTCATTGAATAAGTTTCTGGTCAAAATTGTGCAAACGTCTATGCAACAGTAGTTTTAATTTGTATATATACACATGCATATTGATTCTGCACAATTTAATAATTGATAAAAATGTATAAAATTTTGAATTTTGATTTAGTATAATACAGCAAGGAACATGTATACTTATTTCATAAATGTTAACAAATTCATAGACTTTTTATGTCTTAGTATATATCTTGAGTGACATCTTTGTCAGTATAGTAATTTCCTACCTTGTATTTACATTCACATTTTGCGAGTGTAACTGTATTTACACGCAACAATAATGCTATATAAATTATGCCTTATGCTTTGTATTTGCATACAAAATAATAGTTACATTCCTGATAACTTTGTTATATAAGATAGTCAACTAAATATACGTCTAATAAAAGATAAAAAAATATGTAAACACCTGAAAAATAGTTTATTACTACATACTTATTATTCCTAATGAGTTTGCAGTTTATGTTTTTCATTGTCACCGCCTATTTGCTGGTCCAAGTGTTTTATTGAAAAGTGTATTTGCAATAGCAATTACAGGTGAAAACAATTTTAGTGGATGATTACTGAAAGAATATATTAAATGTTATTGAGTAAAATTAGTTACCTAAATTATATATGAGTCATGCAAAACCAAAATATGTACCAAACACCAGTCACAGGTTCCGCTTCGTTTCCACTTATAATAAATAGCGGGAATAATATAGAAAAAACACAGCCACTGAAATAACAAGAATTTGAGTTCTATGTATACTTCTAAGAATATAATTAAAAATAATGAATTACCTTATTATATACGAATTAGGCAGTTGAGTAAGTATTGCTAATGGCAGACCAAAGCCCACAAAATATGGCCAATTACTTTCGATAAAACTTAATCGTCTATGCAACTCCCAACCCATATTGAACCACTTATATTCAAAAGCATAGAGAGCATATAAGAGGCACATATGTATAAGAGCAAAGATGTCACCTATAAGAGGTAACGGTATCCTGGATACCAACATTCCTTGGCCCAAAAATAATGCTTGAACCAATATGTTAAAAAGCGTGTCTGCTACCAGCTTACTCACACTGGACAAAAGTAGTGGCCTCCCTTGCCTATACCTATAAGCACTATCCGCAATGTCCTACATATACAGAATTTGACATTAATCATATTTGAATACAACTAGTGAAAGGTTCTTACTCTGAAAATAAGTCATACCTGGAACCATAAACTGTTGACTACCCTACTGAGTAAAAACAATGGTAGTATCCATACAGTGCCAAATGTTAGTGACAAAAATGGCTTTGTCCAGGACCATACAGTCATACCCATACCCGGCGAGTGACCAAATATAATAGTCAATAAGTACTTCAGAAATGGAAGGAGGCCACATTCGAAGATCAATATACTTAACCAGAATACACCACCATTTAATGTGCAACACTGAATTGTTCTTTTCAACACTTTTGACTCTCTGGAAATGCATTATAGAATTCACGAGTTACATGGTGCTAAATTTGAAAAACTGGCTTCTAAAGAACTTACAACATACCGTAATCGATTGTGATGTCTTTGAGGATTGTGTATAGCTACATTATCTTTTCCATGAATGTCTGTTCGAGAAGGAGATTGATTGTATAATCTTTCATTTATATGTTTATCCATATAAAATAGAACAATGGCTCCCCTTAGGCTGTCCACAAATCCAGAATAAATAGCACGTACTATTCCCTGAAATTGTAACATAACATTAGCTACATAAAGACTTTTATTAGATCAATTTCTTTTCTACGAATGAGTTCAATCGCATACATGTAAATACACAATATAATTTTAACATTTATATAATCTACATCTGTGAAAAGATCTGAATATATACACGCACATTGTGTACAAATGTAAATTTAAAAATAAATAAAACGTAGAAAAACATAATAAAATATGACAATTGAATGTAATGTTGTGAGGTTAGAAAAACTATTATGTTTTTTTGACTTCAAAATTACATCCATTACTCACCGCTGTGCTATCCATATTTCACAATGATATCCACAATAATAATGTAATTAATCTATACTCCAAATATGTCGAAAAATCTGCTGAAAAAACATGTTCGGAGTAACATAGCTGTCAATGTCAGGAACAATACAAGGGCACACCAAGAAAGCCGATATAAGAAAAATATTTAGGACAACAAAAACAAATAATAAGTTTTCCGACGATTCGAGCATGCATATACTCTATAATTTAGTAAAATTCGATAGATCGACAGAAATCTTTTTTTTCGAAAACGAATAAATAAGAATTACCAGTTAAATGAACGAAACTATCAACGCGACGTTTCATGAAGTTGACAAAAAAAATTTTTGCGAAAATGAATGAACTGATTAGTTTTCCTTACAAAGGTCGGTACTATATTAATAGGTGTAAAGATCAACGAAGATAAACGGTTTTTTCTTTAATGTACCGTTCATTAGTTGTTATTCTTATCAAATATATTATAGAAATCAAGATTTCTTTCCCATACGTACAAATTAATATGACAGCATAATAATAGATTTATTTCAAATGTTATATTTTAAAATACATACATTTAGCTACGTTCTATACTCAATTTACAAATATATCCTATAATACTAACAAAGAATATATGAAATCGAGTGTCATCGTACCTAAGATTTACGTAATTTACGATTTTGCGTTGTTATCGTTTCCAAATATAAAACAATTGATCGCAATCATTTTTGTTGGTCATAACAATGACGCAGATTATGCAACTTAATTATGTACTCAAGTTACATGATTTGCATTATTTAATTAATAATTCATAAATTATTATCTTAGAATTATAAATTTCTTTAAGAATAATCATTATTGTATAGTCATTTTTTATTCAAGGATTTGTTTTATAGGTATAATTACGTAACAATGTCAAATTTAATATTAGTCGATATCTATAAAATAATAAATATAAATAAATTTACAATAAGGGGGAAGTACAAAATATGTATGAAAATAATTCTCGGATAGTATATATTTATTTATGTAGTTGGAATATACAAAAAAATATAATTTAATGTTATGAAGATAAATTAATTTCCACGTATCGTAAACATTTCTAAGTTGTTACTACGACAAATGTTACTGTTTTCAAGGAATGCATCCAGAAAGGCCACCGCTCACTAAACCGCTCTATGAGCGAGTTTTAGTATTTGAGTGGCGCCATCGGCGGGAAAACGCCCAAGTTTGTAGTGAAAACAGTTCTCACAATTTTTGTAAGACGGCGCCACCGATACCTTTAATCAATTATTCATTATTTTTAATAAACGCATACTTAATACGATTCTTTGCTGTTAATATGCCAAACTTTTATGAATAGTTATTTAATGCAGCAATAATTATTGACCATTAGTTTGTGGCGCCATCTAGCATCAACAGTGAGAACTATTTTCACTACAAACTTGGGCGTTTCTCCATCAATAGCGCCACTAGTATTAAGACTGTAGGAACTATAGTTTCTATAGCTCGTGCTACGCGGCGCATTCTCTTCGCATAAATTTAAAACGCTGTTATTGTTAAGACAAAAGTTGTTAATTCAAATGTCATCCTATCGGCTTAACATCGTTTGCGATATCAAAATACCGTTGGAGCATTCGCCAAGAAGACTAAATCCTGAATTGTTACTGATTCAGCGCGAGATGAAGGCAAAAGTTCAAATACACCTATAATCAGTGGCGTGGTTAGGGGGGGGGGGCGAGATTGGCAACCGCCCGGAGCGCCAGATCTTTGGGGACGTCGCAGTCCGGTGTCCCTAGTATACGAATATTGTATAGCTGGTATACAGGGTGTCCCAAAAATGTTGTAACACCTTGAAAGGGATGGTTCGGGAGGTGATTTGAAACAACTTTTTTCTTAGCGAAAATGTTGTACGAGGCTTTGTTGACGAGATATTAACGAAAAACACTGACTAATCAGAGAACGAGTATGCCGGTGGAGCGGCCGCGGTAGCGTATGAGCGCGGACGTCTAGTCGCTCCAACGGTATGCGCGCCCTCTGATTGGTCGCGGTTTTCAAAAGCACACGGTTAATATCAAAGAAGCCTCGGACAACATTTTCGCTAAGGAAAAAGTTGTTTCAAATCACCTCCCGAACCACCCCTCTCAATGACCTCCAACAATTTTGGGACACCCTGTATATTGCAGTTTAAGAATCTTTACAATCTAGCTACAGATTCATTGTTTGATATTATTACCTCGTCTTCTCTTCTTAAAAATGTTAAGCCCCTGAAGGGGCACCACGATAATCTTGCTCGGGGCGCCAATATTGCTAAAATCGTTCCTGCCTATAATGATGACATCGGGACCTCAAGTTGGAGATAACGAATTTCAAAATATTCGACTTTCCACATTCTGGAGCGAAGCACCCGAAACCCATTTTTTTTTTTTTTTTTTTTTTACGTGAGGAAATGCATTTACGCACACCCCCTCTAAAGGGGTAGTGTGGGACTCGCCCCTTGATTTGACAAAGGGAATACCCACTAAAACCTCACGATAGCCGGGTTCAGCGCTCTCAGGGAGGGCACCGGGATTTCAGCGAACACTACCGGCGACCCCCAGTGCAAGCTCCGCCTTTTGGCAGAGAGCCCTCTCCGGTGGGGAGCGATTTACCTCCCCACCTTGATCGCGGGGCTCGCAGCCGGCGATCCCTCTTGTTCCTTTTAGTCGCCTCTTACGACAAGCAGGGATTATTGTGGGCGTATTCTGTTCCCCGCCCCAAAGGAAAGAATGCCGCTAGGGAACAAACGGCCCTCGGCGGCGCCAGCGCTGGGCATAGAGGGGTGGCGTCGGCTGACGGCCCCACCACGCCCGGCGACTCGCTGACGGCAGCGAGCTCGAGCTCGCCGCTTATATATGCGGTGTCGCCTCTACGCGGCAACCGCCGCCCCCTAGACCGCCTCAACCTCCTCCTTTCTATGCAAGTGGAATCGTTGCGTTCCCGATCCCGCTCGTCATCCTCCTTCCGCGAGACAGCAGTCTCAGGACCCCTCGCTCCCGACCATGGCCGAAACGACGGCAGGGAGCGAGAGGTCCGATTCTACAGCTAGACGGAGTGCCCACCTCTCCCTCCAGAAGGCCGGGCACTCCTCCAGCAGGTGGCAAGCACCCAAAACCCATTTTTTTTTTTTATGACGAAAGGGAAATGCATTACGCACACCCGGCGGATGTAGGGACTTCCGCCGGGTAGTGTGGGACTCCCCGCAGGCGAAAAACGTCACCCGCGGGTATACCCACTAAAACCCCCCCGATGGCCAACATTGGGCAACACAGCGACCATGGGCTCTCTCCAGGACGGGAAAGCGAACCTCCCCGCCCCTACGAACTCCACCACGGCCGCCGCGCCCAGGCTCCCCTTGATCTTTGGGGACCCCATCTCAGTGTGGGGGGGTCAAACATCGGCCCCCGCGGCCTCGCGGCCCCGCGCGCAACACGTCGGGGTCACCATGACTGTGACCCCATGACAGGCATGCGCGCGCGGGGCCGAAGCACCCAACACCCAGACCTAACCCAGCACAAAGATTTTGAATAACATTGAATATAAAATTGATAATTACTACAAACATATATTGTATGGATTAACATAATATACTAATTTGTTCACATATCTTTATTTCATCATGTTTTAAATATTTTCATAGAATGTATATACAATGTAAACAATTCTTTATATATCACTCTTTCCCATGCATTTATATATTCAAAAGATAATTTTACAAACCATGATTTTGATATACATACATTCAACATAAATTTAATTTATTTTCTTACACTCAAATCATCACATAAGTTACATCATTTCTTAGAGCTGTTTAATCAAATATATTTGGATATGCATATAATAAAAGTATTTCCTTAGTAACAGATTTTCTGGTCTGTGTATGTAAACGACAGTTTTCAATTTACTTCAAATTTAATTTCAATCATTCAATTAATTTTACTGCCTACTTCTAAAAAATTTTAGTAGAAAACTTCTAGAAAAAAATGAACCTTATGAACTCAGAGAAATTAGTACTATAATTGTACTTAGAATTGTATACCAAATATTTGAAGTTCATATTCAAATAGAATAACTATGGAATAAAAAATGGTGGAATATATTTAACAATTTACAACTTGCACTTTCTAACGAGGTCACGGATTAATTACTTTTTTCTACGCGAACTGACAATAATGAATAACCAAAAACAAATACTAATAAAAAGAACAATTCATTTTGACTTTTCCCATAAAAATCAGACTAGAAATTCAGGAGTAAACAAGATACACAGTATACAACTTTACTGTAATACACAAAAAAGATCTTTTCAACATGATTGTCATCAACTGCAAATGATATCGTTAAATGAAATTAAATATTATAATCAGAATTTTTTATACAATACTATAGATCATAATTTATCTTAATCTCTTTACTTACAAAAGGAGTTGAATTTGTTCATTTTCTGCTCAAAAGATAAAATGTATGAGAACATAGAAATTATTTTTGATAATCATATATTACCTATTCATAATTTAATGTAAAATATAAAAAAGTAATATATTAATTATTAACAGATAGTATGTAGGCTACTTCCTCTTAATTTGTTAACTGATGTATGAAAGTGATATTATTTACGTGATGACTTGATATTCAAATAGATCATTGTAATTATTCAAAATATAATCTAAAGATATACATCACTTAAAAATAGCAGAAAATGGGACTAGTTTTGTAGATTATTTAATATTAAAGTATTGTTCTATATGAGAATGTTAATCATTCTCGTTGAATAAACTATAAAGTATTTAATAATTTTAATCTGCATACGAGTTGTATAAAGCACGTATTATTATTATTATTATTATAATTATGAATTTTCGTTTAGAATGCGTTAACGAATCAATAAATATATAAATACATTTCTTGTAAATCTCCGAGTCGAATAAAAATACGAAGTTAAAAGTACGAAATAAAAGTACGATGTATATAAGATAATACAAATATCTATTAATACGAGAAACAAAATATACTCTTAACGTATTAACGTAACATACACAAAGTTTGATAATAAAATACTCAGACTATGGTAATTTTTTTCATAAATTTAAATACAACAAACTTGCAATTATAATATACATAATTGATATTGGTTGAGGCTTCACGGTATAAGCCGTTCTTTGAATGAGATACTCCGACATTTCACCAACATTGCAGCTCTCTTCTTCAAGGATCACATAACACATTGATAATGACGTCTGATGCAATGGTGACGTATCGTCGAAGTATCTTACCCAAAGAACACGACTCACATCCAGAAGCCTCAATTAATATCAACTATGAGGAACTGTGCCGTGAAAGCCTGAAATATCCTAAAATTTCTAGAAGTAAAAACGGGATAAGTAGTGCTTTGTACATAGTTTTCCAAGACAATTTGTTGTAAAAATATTCGAATATAAATAATTTGTATAAACACCAGTTTATAATGTATGTCTAGGAACATTGTTATCAAACTTCGTATGCAACATGGAAAGTAAAGATTCTTGTAACATAATGCTATAAAAGTAATAGTATACCGTAGATTATATCAAAATAAATCGAAATAATCTGAAAATATTTGACATATTATAAATATATAAATATACAATGCCTAATATTTAAACATGTAATATAAATACTGTTATGTCTTTAATGGCATCGACTAGAATTATTTAAGGTAATATTAAAAATTCCAAAGATTATCATTACTCATGAAAATCGCCAAAAATAATGTAATGTTTAAATCTACAAAAATTTTATCAACTATGATGATGTTGTATGAAATCTTCTTCAATTGTAGTTAATGGAATATCTAAAATCTATGTATGCAGAAAATTGTGAGTAAATTTATAAATAATGTCTCATATACAATGAATATGTATTGACTTTGCAACAAAAGTAAAGATGTATCTTTTCAATTATACGATTACCAAATAATATATGTTGACTAGTTGGATCCCTTTCTCTATTGCAAAAAGTATACATATTATCAGAATGTATACCAGTTTCCAATTACTTGGCAGTGAACTCGGGCCAATAGTTTACATAATAACGATGTGTTAAACCTTCAAATAATCTATCCAACCACATTGGCAAACCATCCAAAAGATTATCCTGATACAAAACATTGTTTCCACTCTGTAAAAAGTCATTTGTATAACTTTTAAATAAATGTTTTAAAAAAATATAAAATATATATAAGTTTATTATACCTCATCTTCAGAAAGATCAGAATCGTTAGAACTGTCAAAACCAATAAATGCACCAGCTTCTGCATCATCTGCTCTTCGAGTTAACTGCTTTGTCATTCGTTCCATTCGCTATGTACAGAGAACGATCATTAGAATTTATAGTCTTTGCGTGTGATAAGTATTAAAATAATACTTTTAAAATATACCTTAGAACCTTTTCCTTTACTACATTCTGGATGCTTGGCATGATACATACAAAAATATTTGCGATGTCCATTTAAAGACAGTACAGTGCCAACACAATTTTTGGCATTTATATTTAATTCTTTTTGTTCTGGCAAAGTGAGGGATAACAGTTTCTTATACCAATCTAGCCCTCTTTCAAGAGACATGTGTCCAAACATAAGGGTCTTATTTTTCCTGTAACGAAATTAATTATTTATTTTTGATAAGAAAGAGAGCGTTGTAACTTACCTATAAGGCCACACAGCTTTATGAAAAGCTGTTAATAATTTTAATCTACTTTGAGCATCAACTAATAATATAATGGTTCTACAGCCTGGTTTTAATAGACGAACTAAACCATTATATTTCTCTGCGCGTAATTCATGTAATCGTAATTGTGGCTGCGAAGATGTTGATTTAGCGTTATCTTTACATTGAGCACGTTCTGCTTGAACACTTGCTTCTTCTAATTTCCTAAAATAAAAAATAATTTTATGATAGATTATATTCACATAAATTTACGTTACATGAAAATGTAATATCCTCTAAAAATCATGATACTTACACCAGATATGACATTCCATATCCCGCAGCACCAATTAACATTAAGGTGGCAATTACTGATACTAAAGGCAAAATTTGCTCTTTAGTAAGACTATCCGATATATAATCTACAGCTAATAATGCCTTGCCAATAAGTTTGTCTACAGTACCCTGAGTAAAAATTAAATTGAGAAGTATGTAATATTTAATACATCTTAATTTTTGAAAGATTAGGATTCATACCTGTGCATGTTCATCTGCTAATTCTCCTACGACCGCGGCGTATGGCAAAGCTTCAGATGCTCGCAATAATCTTTGTATAGTTTGTTCTAAGTTGCGACGTGTTTCGTTCCATTGACTCTCATCCTGAGCAGCTTCAATCCAACCAGTAGGTAACCATTCGTACTTCAGATGATTTGCATCTCTTCTCCAAATAATAACAATATGTAACAAAGGTTCCAAGGGACTGCCTTCTCCTGTTGATAATGCTGATACAAATTCTGGTTGTGTGTCTTTAAATACATATGTATACCTAACTCGTTCAGTGCTGCAAATTAAATTTTGTAAAAATGATTTTACAATAATAAAATTGCTAATGAAAGATAGTAAATATATTTTCAAAATAATGTTACCCATAAGAAGACTCTAAAGCTGCTTGTCTAAATTTGTGCCTAGCCAAGTCATGGAGAGGATTGTTTTGTTGCGATATTAAAACTGCACATAATCGTTTTTGAGGTCTGAGCCACTCAGGTGGACAAACAGAGTCTAACATTGCTTGGTTTGAAAGTCTTGGCAAAGCAAGGAATTTATTATTGGAAATAACATTGTGCATTGTATCACTGGATATGTCTTTCATACTAACAGATGCCATAGGTTTTTCAGAATTTTCATTAAATAGTAATAATGTGTCTAAATCCACAGAAATTTTATACTTTGATACAATGGATTCTGTTTCTGCTTTTCCAGTCTGCAAAAACGAAATTAAAAGTTACTAAAGAATTGAGTAATTTCAGTGATATGGTAATGTTATAATACGCATAGAATAAAATGGTTACCTGAACAAAACCAAATGCAACACGATCTCTATAATAAAATGCAATAAACAGATATCGTAATCGTATAGATTCTTTTCTATCAAATATTAAAGCTCGAATTCGATTATCTATCCATCCTGAGAGAAAATTATCTACATTATTTTTATTGATATTAGGTATCAATTTATACGGAAATTTACTTCGCAAAAAGTCTGAAATATAAAAGTCTACTTAGATTTATAATATTATGAGATGAGAATTTCATATTTATAATCAGTACATTACAAATACACACCAACAATTTTTTGAATGCTGAAAAGAGATTCCTTATACACACTAGTACGACCATCTATAGTAACAACAAAGCATGGTAGTGAATGAATACCCAGCCTTCTTGCCAGAGCAGATTCTTTTTCAGCATGTGCAGTTGCTAAACCAAGACCCAATGGTTCTAATTCTTCAACTAAACGTCTCCATGTTGGTTCTACTTGTAAACAAGCAAAACACCAATCCGAATAAAATAATATTATGTAAGGTGTACGAAAAGTTTTTGGTATTACTACATTTTCAAATGATCTGTAATAAAAATATATTTATATTTAAAATATCTAATTATAATAGTATATACATACATATGCATTCATAGAAATTCGAGATGTTCTTATAGATGTTCTTATAGAAAAATACAAACCGATAAGTGATGCTCATCTTATAAAAGAGTGATATATCCCGAGTTTGGTAATGAAATTTGATATTTCCACCAAACAACTCCTCCAAAGGATCAAGAACATTAAAGTGACTGCTGTCCCTTCGTTGCCTAGGAATACTTTCTTCTGTAATACCATGATTATCAAATTTTTTTCTTCTTTCCGGATCAGTTAAAATCTAAGCAAAGAAATTATAATTATAAAAATGAGCCATAATTTACATCCTGAATGTTTCAACAGTATTATACCTCGTATGCTTTTGTAATTTCTACAAATTTATTTTCTGCAGCAGGATGATCAGTTTTATCAGGATGCCTAAAGGAATAATATGTAAGTTAGAAATATTAGAATTAATTGTTTCAAAACACTACTAAAATCATAGGATATACATGTTGGTTTATTAATATTTAATACGTAAATATTATAAATAGTTTAAAAATGATTATTTAAAACTAACTTCATATTACGAACTCAAAATAAACCCTTTGCACTCGAGAGGTAACTCGTAATTACCACTGAGTTAGGTCTCATATTGTATTTCAAAGCATTGATAGTAAAATTGGTCCATGAATAGGTTTCTAAACTCTGTACGTATTCTTTTAGTAAGTGTAAAATGGTACACCTTGAAATAGTAGTAAGACTTTTATCTCAAATTTGACTGTATTTAACAAATAATGACATATAAAATATTAAAATGTAACAATTTTATAGTTTAATGTATATATAAAATCATTTAATGTTGGTTGTAAGAAATTCATAAAATATTCACAAAATCTGAAGTTGTTAATATAAGTCTAAATATAAAGTACATTATTATTATTAATAGTGTGACTTCATTCTGTATGAATTACTTTTATGGTGGACAAACTTGATACCAAATTTCATATGAATCAATCATTTTCACAGAATAGAATACGTAATAATATTTGTTTTAATACATACCATTCTTTGACAAGATTTTTATACGCCTTTCGAATTTCTTGTAAGGTTGCACGTTTGTGGACACCTAATATTTTATACGGATTTCCCAATGACTCGATACCACTAGCCGACGACAGTAAATGCGTTGTTATAATAAAAATCACGATAAAAAATGAGAACCTCATTAATGATTCTATATTATTCACACTTTTGTTAATGCTATTTGATCGTTTGCTTACTGACTCGGAGGTTCTTAAAAAATTAATCGATAACATTATTTGCGACGTAGTTTTAACGTGCCTGTATATCTATCGAATTGTACACTTTAACATGAAGTCAGCATTGACTACAACTATCCTTTTTTCTCCTTGCAATGTTTAGCAAACATGTTCAGTACAAATTTTGGCTAATTTTTAAGCCGAAAGCTCTGTCATTACAGTATTATAGTGATGTTTCTGGACAACCATGTTGTCAAATCATATATATATATATATATATATATATATATATAGTGAGCATATAGTGGACATTAAATCCTAGAATGCTGTACAGTTCATGCTTCATGCGATGGAGACGATGGACTCTAGTAACAAAACTAGAGACCGTCTAATTACCAGAGATGGGCAAAACCCTAGGCTTTGAATAAATCTGAAGTTTGCCGATGCGTTTGTTTCGTTTCTTTCTCTGAAAAATGTTCAAAAAAGGAAACGAGACAAACATATCGGCCAACTTCAGAATTATTCGAAGCCTAGGGTTTTGCCCATCACTGCTAATTACAGTCGCGAAATAACATCAATCAAGAAAATAAAGTAATTCAAGGAAGAACATTTTTAAAATATATGTTATATTTATCGTATATACCTAGACACAATAGACTAACGATATTCTGTCACAAATCACATAGTTTATTATCAGAGTTAGACTCAATAAGACTTTGTCTCTCATTTTGGATTTATAACTATATTGTTTTTTCTTTTGCACGTAAGTCTTATCTATGTTATTACTATTGTTACTTTGTATATTTAGTAATTTTAAATGAACCCAGACAGACGACCGTGACCTATAATAAAATGCCATCTTTTCTTTTTTTGTCACTAGCCGCATTGTCCACCAATTATGAGCCCTATGTAGTATCAGTACCAATCACAATTAGGATAGGAGTACGCGCTGTCTGAAAAATGTTTATTGCGTAGGCCTGATTGTGTTTGACATTCGTTTCACATTGTATATGAAGTGTATATGTTTTCCAATTTATTTAAATGCTACATACAATGTGTATACAACGGATTTTTATATTTTTCTTGTGACAATTGATGTAAATAGAAATACTTTGCCAATACTAAGATAAGAATTTAAAAAAGGGCATTATAAAGGTATTTTAGAGAAACAATTTATATTTAACCTCAAAATATAATGGACACTCATTCATCAACATATAATAGAAACACTATAAAATAATAGAAATAAAATCTTTGTTTTGTAAAATAGATTTAATTAAATTTTCAGAGTTGATTTGATCACTGTCAAAATGCGGAGTCGAAGTAATTCTGGAGTTCGTTTGGATTATTACCAACGAATTGTGCACAAGATTATTATGAATCATCAGAATGCAGTTACAGGTCTTTTCCCTGCAAGTCCTGAGAATGATCATGCGTGGGTTCGTGACAATGTATACTGTATTCTTGCTGTATGGGGCTTATCAATGGCATATAAAAAGATAGCTGATGCGGACGAAGATAGAGCAAAAACGTATGAACTTGAACAAAGCTGCGTGAAATTAATGAGAGGTCTACTAATGGCAATGATGCAACAAAAAGAAAAAGTTGAAAAATTTAAATCCACTCAGAATCCACATGATTCTTTACATGCCAAATATAGTTCTGTTAATGGGCAAACTGTTGTGGGTGATGCAGAATGGGGTCACCTCCAAATAGATGCCATTTCTCTTTATTTGTTAGTTCTAGCACAAATGACAGCATCTGGTTTACAAATTGTTTTTAATTTAGATGAGGTACATATATATTATTTATTATATATAGTACAATTCTCAATGCAATATTTATAAACTCTTATAATATATCTTTAGGTTGCATTTATTCAAAATTTAGTATTCTATATTGAGTCAGCCTATTGCACTCCCGATTATGGAATTTGGGAAAGAGGTGATAAAACAAATCATGGTTTACCAGAATTAAATGCTAGCAGTATTGGAATGGCTAAAGCAGCAATGGAAGCTATGAATGAATTAGACCTGTTTGGTGCACGGGGTGGTCCTACCTCTGTAATTCATGTATTAGCAGATGAAGCACAAAAATGTCAAGCAGTTTTACAGTCTATGTTACCACGCGAATCAAACTCAAAAGAATTAGACAGTGGATTATTAGCTGTTATAAGTTTCCCAGCATTCGCTGTTGACGAACCTAATCTTATTCAGTTAACAAGGGATACTATTACTAAAAAACTACAAGGTCGTTATGGATGTAAACGATTTTTAAGAGATGGATATAAAACACCTAAGGAGGATCCCAACAGGTAAAAATATAACAAAATTTATTTTCAGATGCAATATCAGTATTTATTTATATGTTTACTATGTTAATAATAGACTCTATTACGAACCATGGGAATTACGTATGTTCGAAAATATAGAATGTGAATGGCCCTTGTTTTTTTGTTATTTAATTGTGGACTATTGTTTCCAAGACAATAAAGAAATAGTACTAGAATATACAAAACAATTGGAAGAAATAATGCTCAAATCAGATGATGGAGTAAAATTGGTGCCTGAATTATATTCTGTAGAACCTGCAAGTGTATCTGCAGAGTATGCTGAACCAGGTAGTCAAAATCGAATTGCATTAGGTAGATGTCCATTTATGTGGGCTCAATCTCTGTACATATTAGGGAAACTATTACAAGAAGTGAGTATGCAAATATAAAGGAAACACAAATAGAAAATGAGATTGTTTATATATTTTTGAATATTAGGGTTTCCTTGCTGTGGGAGAATTGGATCCATTGAACAGACGTTTATGTAGTGAGAAAAAACCAGATGTTGTAGTACAGGTTGTTATACTAGCAGAAGATGCAGAAATAAGAGAAAAAATAGCTCAACATGATATACATGTACAAACAATTGCAGAAGCTGCTCCAATAGAAGTACAGCCAGCAAAAGTACTTAGTCACTTGTATACTTACTTAGGTACATATGAATGATGAAACCTGTATAATTCTTTAATCAGTAACTTTCTGTCTCATTTTGTAATTTAAAATGTTTTTTCTTGTTTCAGGACGAAACAAAAAATTAGGTTTATCTGGACGTAAATCAAGGGACGTAGGAATTTTAAGCACCAGTAAATTATATTCCTTGAATGATAAAATATTTGCATTCACTCCACAGGTAAGTATTCTGATACTCATAGAACCGTCTGCTCTTCTACACTTTTATTTCTTTTCTTATGTTGCCTCTTGTTCTTGCATCAAACATTAGTTGACCGACATGACCCGCTTCTACATCGCATCGGACTATGAACTCATGATTGACATATTCAAAGGCGAAATTAATTTCTTGAAGTCTAGCTGGCAGAACATGTTAGGCCGTCCTCTTGTGGTCATGCCCCTCAAGAACATTCATCTAGGTACAGTAATTTAGTATTTAAAAACCATAATTTCCATTTGTGTTACCTTTTCTTGATTGCTTGAGAAATTACAACACGATAATTTTAATATTATTTGCTTTATAGTAACAGAAATAAAGTATATGGTTTTTAAACATTGATGTTTCATTTTTGGAATTTCATTTCTTACTGAGATTATATAAATATATATACACTATCCAAAAAACATCTAACATGTCTGCCTGCATGCATGCATTTGTTTTTGTTATAAATTTTTGCTTAATGGTTATAAAGGGTCTTAATGTAATTCGATTAGCTGAAACTAGGATTTCACTAGCTGTTCATTTTCATCGCGTAATACTTGAAAGTTAATGTTATGATATTCGTCATGAGCAAAATCCATTCAAAGAATTTCGATGGAGACAAATCAGTTAGAAAGAAAAAAATTTTGAAGAAAGACCGTTTTCTCTTCAGCATATAATCTAAAAAGACAGCTTATGTGTTTGGTGGTGTGCGTATTTGTTGCATGTCTTAGACCTTTGACGCGGAGGAGTACTACACAACAAATGATGCAGCCCTCCTTGCCAACACTTTTACAACCAACTTGGCCTTCCTCACCATCAACTGGAAGCAAATGCTGGGCAGGCCAACTATAACACTTGTTGCTACTCATAATCATCTAGGTATGCCACCGGCAGCATTTAGATCATCATTTAGAACGAAATTTTATTGGAAAATACTAAAAAGTAGAATAGATATTTCCCAAAAGTAGTAAATCCTAAATATAACATAGAAAACATTGCTGTATTTGTTCTTATAATAATGGAAAATTAATTTGTTTTCGAATTGAACACATGTAATTATTATTTTAGATCAAGGAAAAATACCATTGGCTATGATAACGACCATGAAAAAATTAAAAAGTGGTTATATTAATGGCACGCGAGTTTCATTGGGAAATTTGAATGATTTCTTAAGTACTTCCTGCATTACAAACTTGAGTTTCTTAGGAAGTTCTGAAGATGGTAGACCAGACAAACTAAACCCTCAGGTAAATTAAGTTTATGTTATAAAATAGTAATATATATGCTAAGATGTATATGTATATACAAGATATATTGTATATAATTTCAAATTATTGCTGTTCATTAGTAATTGGATATAATCACAGATTTTATACATACACATAAATACCTATATTCTACTGTATTTTTCTTTGGATTTAATAAGGTTCAGCAATATCTAGAGGAACATCTAATGCGTGCATTTCCGCATCGTACTGGCCTTCTTAACAGGCCAGTAATTCGATCTGGAAAAAATTTGAAACGTAGGATGTCTGTAAAAGGTGCTATAAAGAAAACAAGGTCAATTGCTGTAGAACGTGAGTTACATTTGTTTTACATAATTATATCAGAAACCATTTAAATCCCTAATACTTTAACTGCAAGTTACTTAAATTTTCATGTGGCATATTCATATAGCCATAGTTCCTACCATCCTCAAAGAATGTAAGTGTACTAACAAATGATAACTAATTTCCAAATTATGGTAATTAATATGTAACAAAAACAATTAACATATATTTAAAAAAATAACAATATACATTATTTTACATGCGGTGCAACTTTAAATAAACTGAAGAATTAAATAATTTGATGATTTATCAAATATAATTTTTGACAAATGAATTTGTAGCTGAAATTCTTGGGATGGCAGGAGAGGAGCGAAGACCATCCACTATTTTAAACACAAATCCATTTATTGAAGTCACAGATACAACGTTAAGTCCTAATTCTACGCAGCCGGTTCCTGTTGATCGCACACCATCCCCCACAGATGATATACTGTCTTGGACAAATTGTTCAAAGCTACATAGACATAGAGGTATGGAAACTCAATATGCAGACACTGAAGTTGAAGAATTATTGTCTATGCTTAGAGAAACCGAAAGTTTGGAAGAACAAGGAGACATTCTGCAATATCTCGTAAGTTATAAGAATCATATAAGAATGTATGGACTATTTCTAGTAGAATGCTGGACAAAATGTAATTAAATTACATCTGCTCAATACTGTAAACAAATTACTACATATTATCAAAAACACTATATATGCAATATATTACGTCCTATACTTAAAAGAATTATTAACTTAAATGTTTAGGTTGATTCACAAGGTCTTTATTTTAATACTGGCATGCTAGAAGAGGAGCATCCAGTTCTCATTAAAGATTTGTTGAAAGACCTTTATGAAAAAGCTTGTCAACAAAAAATGTGGGGAATTGTACGTCACACAGCTGGCATGTTAGGCAAACGTGTTGAAGATTTAGCGAAAGCTGTTACCGATTTGTTAGTTCGTCAGAAACAAGTTACAGTTGGAATGCCACCCGCTAACGAGCATACAATTGTTGCACCTTTACCCGAAAACGAATTACGAGTACTGATTCATCAAGCGTATGGAGACGACGAATCTACTGCTATGTTAACGCAAGAATTACTTGTTTATTTAGCAATGTTTATTAGAACAGAACCGCAATTATTTCACGAGATGCTTAGACTCCGAATAGGTTTAATTATTCAAGTAATGGCTACTGAATTATCAAGAACTTTAATATGCACTGGAGAAGAAGCATCTGAACATTTGTTAAATTTATCGCCATTCGAAATGAAGAATCTTTTACATCACATCATGAGTGGAAAAGAGTTTGCGATTAGTAGTGGTATGGTTTTCATATTTAGTACGAATTACATTATTTAATTCAGTATAGTTGGAACTACATCATTTAGTAAAATATAAATTCAGTTTATATGTCTAAATATAAGAATAATTTATTTTTATTTTTAGTTGGTCGAGGTAATTTCTCTGTTATCAGTTGTAAATCAAGTAGAGTCAGTAAGGTAATGTACTTGTCAATAAAACAATTTCTATTATTTTTTTATTTCTCGCTTTACAATCATTTCATTTTGTTTAGAAATCACAAATTGGCGGTTTCTTAAGCCCCGATCAAAATGATAGCAGCGAATCAGAACCAGACCGACAAGGTCAATGGTTACGACGACGAAGATTGGATGGTGCATTAAATAGAGTGCCGCGAGACTTTTATCCCCGAGTATGGCAAGTACTTGAACGGGTAAGTATAACACTTTTTTTTACACTCATGTACAGCATATTTTTCATTTGATTAAACACTTAATTTTTAATAGTGTCAAGGTCTGGCAATTGAAGGTAGAGTATTACCTCAAAACCTTACACAAGAAATGACACCCGGAGAATTAAAGTTTGCTTTAGCAGTAGAAACTGTTTTAAATACTATACCACAACCAGAATATCGTCAACTAGTAGTTGAAGCTTTAATGGTACTAACTTTAGTAACTGAATATAATGTCGTCGCTTCCTTGGGTGGACTTATTACTGTTGAACAATTAGTTCACAAGGCTAACGCTATCTTTTTAGATGATCAGGTATTTTTCTATTTTTCTAATAAAATATTAACAAGATATATTCACTAACTATATTTAAAATAACCAGATGAAAGTTGACGGTGATGCTACCTTATGCTGTGCCAAACCCAAAGAGCAACGGGAAACAACTGCAATGGGAAATCTTCTTTGCGGTGGAGCAGCATATGTTTGTCAACATTTTTATGATAGTGCTCCAAGTGGTAGTTTTGGAACAATGACATATATTACACGGGCCATAGCATCATCATTAAATTGTTTACCAAAGGATGGTGATATGGAGTGTACCATATCATAGTTATTTATTTCTTAGAACAAAGAAATTGTAGTCAATTATATCTACGAATCTTATAAATCGTTGAAGCGTTCATAATTATCTAATTTTTGTGTGAAGTATATGTGGCACATGTCCAATATATTTATGCTACTGTCAAATCTAGAATTTCGTATTAAAAATTGTATGTAACATGATAAATGTTTTGAAAACTTTAATTTTGTATGCCGAAGTTACCAGCCTTCGTAATGTGTTAAATATAAGAGAAATGAACAATTATTCTGTATTAAATTTAATTCTCTTATTTTTTTTTATTTATGATAAATAACCACAATACATATATATTTTTATTCAGTTTTTGAACTCTTCGTAAATGGATTCAATTTTGACATCCAAGATGAATGCCTGAAAAAATAATTTCCAATTATGCTTTTCTTGCAAACTTATAAAGTTTTAAATAAAACATGATTTAATATTTACCCTTCTGGTGATGAAACATCTACATCTTCTGTTTCTTTAATTTTATTCTCTTTAAGTTTTGCAATTAACTCCGACCTATATGTAAATTTCAATGGCTGCACTTTATTTAATTCTTCCTTTAATTTTTTCCATTTTTGACAAGCTTCCTTATATGGTAAACCATACCATTCAATTTCTTCTCGTGTGTACTGAAAATACATACATAATGATTATATTTTATTAATTATTTATATTTTAATTTTATACACATATTAAAGAATGGTATTCTACCGCTGTTATATACTCCTTGTATTTGGCATAAACTTCCTCCTTTTTAACAGGATCAGTTGGATATAAAGTTTTATCTGCTAATGCTATAAGTATTTGGCGTTTTATCTTTAATGCAAGTTCAGATCTCAAATCACAGGCAGGAGTCTATAATAAATAATAAATTTGTAACATTGATATATAATATTTAAAATATTTTATAATGAATGTATGTACCTTTAATAAGTAATGATCAAAACCATAATGTTCATGAATTAAACGAATAGTTCTATTGGTAATAACAACACTCATGTATGTATCTAAAACTTCACTATACACTACAGACTTTTTAAGTACAGGAAACCAGAAATGAGGAACCCTACATCGACGTGGATGTTTCTTTACATAACCACGTATGACAGCTTCACCACCCCATATTCCATCATTTAGTTCTTTAGGGTATGTCAAGGGTATTGGTACATTTTGAACTCGATGCCTACAAGTTAATAGAATTTATTTTTAAATCAATAAAAATAACTTATCTAGATTCTTTAACCTTTTAAGCAATACAAAAATAATTCTGAGAATATGTACATAACACCATTAATTAACAGTAAATAAATATGCAAGGGAAAGAAGTAAATACCAATCAAAAGTATTTCTAGATAAGCAAAATAGATTAGCTACTTACACAACTTCTGTTTCCTCGTCTCTAAAATATTTCCCTTCTTGTTTAACATAATGAACAGCAGTTGGTTCTTGCAATTTCCATTCTTTCCAAAACTTTTTATACTCTTCTGGCAATTCTGCACCAATTCCTTTCGACCATCGCGTTATTCTTGGCATGTAATATAAACGCTGAAATTTTCATTTTCATAAATTCTCTTTCAATAGCTTTTCATTATGTATCGAAATAGCTGTATGCGTATAATTATAGCTAAAATAATTACAAAATTTCTACAAAGCATATTATTTTATATTAAATTTAGTTATGTATTACGCGAATACAGATAGGAATATAATGTTATTCCTTTTAGGTTAGCTTTTACAAGAATGAATTCCTAATGTGAAGCATTACCTGACCAAACTGTTTCACTGACATTTTTTTTGTAGATTTCTGAATTATTAGTGAAAATTATATAAAATAATTCTTTTCACACGTCAAATTTAATCTCCTCTGTACGCATTTATGCGTACTTCGGTTTAAGATTTTTGTTTCAACGTGAAGATAACACCAGATAATTCTGCTTTGATTAACCAACATCCACATCTATATATTCATATATACATCCGCAGACATCACCTAACCTCAATGTTGGTAATAAATATTGAAACGTTATTTTCTTTTGTAACGGCAAATATGTACATTCATTATTGGTAGTATTTTTATCAAATTTAAGTTACGTAGTTCTTAAATAAAACGTCAGCAACAAATTACTTCAAGCAAGTAACATTCGTGATTAAATAATATTTACCAGTAGTAAGGAGAATTTGTAACTGAAGTATAATTTTGAGAATAATATTTATAACAGAGAAAAATAAAAATATAATTTATTTCATACGAACATTATTTGTTTAATGACTTTCTTAAGTTTAGACATTGACAGACATCAGTTATTAGTACATTATGAAAATAAGTAAAATTATTTCTCATATATTATATACTCAAAATTATAATCTTTGCCAAATACATGCATCAACACTTGAAAGGTCAGTGTTACTTACTCATTTCTTATTATTAATATGTAATCAGTATTATTACATAGAGTATTTTTCTAGTTAAAAGTATTTTACAATAAGAACTAAAACATTAATTTTTCATTTAAACAATGTTTTCTTTTTTAGGAGATGTTTGCATTTTTCAAAGAAATATTATTCTACAAAGTTGGAAGTAGATAAGGAATATGATATACAAAAAGAAAATATTCGTAACTTTAGTATTATAGCACATGTTGATCATGGTAAAAGTACTCTTGCTGATAGGCTTTTGGAATTAACAGGTGCAATAAAAGCAAACTCTGGAAAACAAATACTAGATAATTTACAAGTTGAAAAGGAACGTGGGATTACAGTTAAGGCTCAAACGGCTTCTCTCAATTATATGTATAAAGGAACTAAGTATCTCCTTAATTTAATAGATACACCTGGTCATGTAGACTTCTCAGCTGAAGTTCATCGCTCTTTAGCTCCATGTCAAGGAGTACTGTTAGTAATTGATGCAAATGATGGTGTACAAGCACAAACTGTAGCTAATTACTATTTAGCTACTAAATGGAAATTGATTATAATACCAGTGATTAATAAAATAGATTTGTCAAATGCCCATCCTGATAGAGTAGCAAAGCAATTAAATGCATTATTTGATATAAAGGAAAATGATATTTTGAAAATATCTGCTAAATTTGGCACCGGAGTGGATAAAGTTCTGAGTACTATTGTTGAAAGAATTCCACCACCCGATGTATCTAAAGACAAACCATTTAGAGCTTTGACAGTTGATAGTTGGTATGACAAGTACAAAGGGGCTATTTCCTTGATATATGTTAAAGGAGGATCTTTATCGGTATCAGACCACATCACATCAACTTATACTAAAAAATCTTACGAAGTTAGAACTCTTTCATTATTAAGACCAAACGAAGAATATGTAAATAAAATGTAAGTGTATTTCTTACCTTTTTTATAATTTTATAGAAAATATTACAAAATTGAGAAATGTATAGTCTATGAAAAATAAGAAAATATAAATGTTGTTTAATTAAACATATTAGATTTGCAGGTCAAATAGGATGTGTTGCATGTAATATGAGATCTTCCAAAGAAGCATACATTGGCGATACATTGTATTTAAAGAATCATGTTGTTGAACCTCTATTAGGATTTAAACCACCAAAACCAATGGTCTTTTCAGGAGTTTATCCAATCGATCAATCACAATTTAGTGCCATGAAAGCTGCCATTGAAAGATTGACATTAAATGATAGCGGTGTTTCTGTTGCTATGGATTCTAGGTACATATTATAGTATCTTTAAAAGTATAATAAAGTAAATAATAAAGTCTAAAATATCCAAAGAATTTCATAATTGATTTATGTAATTCTTCCAGCATATATGGTTAGACAGATTCTATCAAATAAACAATTACATAGTTTCATATAAATCTAATTTATTCAATTACACTTGTATATTACTCTATTTTAGTGCAGCTCTTGGACAAGGTTGGAGAATTGGATATCTGGGGTTACTGCATATGGAAGTATTCATGCAGCGTTTGGAGCAAGAACATGGTGCACAACCAATTGTTACAGTACCTAGTGTTACATATAAAGCAAAAATTTTTGGCGCCAAAAGTATTAAAAAATATGGTGGTGACGTGATCACTTTCAACAATCCTACACTTTTTCCTGATAAACAAATTGTAACAGAGTTCTATGAACCCATAGTACTAGGAACCATTATAACACCAGGTACATTTAATAATTAAGTCTAAAGTTACACAGGTATACTTAGTGAGATAGTAAGTAATTACTTTTATTTATATGACCAGATGAATATATGGGTGCAGTAATATCTTTATGCATTGAGAAGCGAGGAATAGAACAATTAACAAAAGATATTGGTAATAATAGAGTAATGCTTCAATTTCTATTACCATTGAATGAAATTATTGTTGACTTCCATGATGCACTAAAAAGTGTAACCTCGGGATATGCCAGTTTTGATTATGAGGAACATGGTTACGAAGTTTCAAGTATAGTAAAGGTAATTATTATTGTATGAACATCTTATATAATTATTTTTAATGTGTATTCATTTCTGTGTTATAGTTAAATATCGCTTTAAATGGTATCATAGTAGAAGAATTGAGTTGTATTGCACACATCAGTAAAGTTACTGCAGTAGCCAAACGAATATGCGAAAGATTAGCAGAAGTTATACCTCGTCAAATGTTTGAAATAGCGATTCAAGGTATGGTTAATGGAAAAATCGTTGCAAGAGAAACGTTAAAAGCATTTAAAAAAGATGTAACTGCAAAATTGGTAAGAATTCTTTGTTGTAATTTACTTAATTTTTACCATAATTTTATTACCATGTTTTTATTTTAGTATGGAGGCGATGTTACTAGAAGAATGAAACTGTTAGCAAAACAGTCCGCGGGAAAGAAAGAAATGAAAATGGTTGGAAAAATTTCTTTGCCACGGGATACATTTATAAAAGTTCTTAAGAGATAGTTAAAACAAATTATTGAAACATGTATCATTTAATATAATTATAGGCATTTCAATTTAAGATTAGTAAATTATAAGATCAAAACATTTTAATATAACTCGTAATTTTCTGTTTTGTCAAATAAAACTGCCTTCATAAGAAAGTTTGCTAATAATTAATAAATTATTTCATTAATTCAGACCTTGGCTGTGTATACCCATTAGGCAGAGCACTATTAATGCCTATTAGTGAGCAATTAGTAGTCATTTGGCCTAATTTTCTGACTTGACTATCTGACTCTAATATGAAAATACTATGTAAAATTACTCCATGACCTGTGACCTATACCTGTCTTTGTTGTCAACGGGTCGCGCATGCGTTATTCGTGACTTTATTTGATAGAGGTTAGGTTTGTTACACGTGTGATTCCGAATTTCATTATAAACAAGTTCTAAATCCATTTTCCTATATTTTTATTACTAGTATCTAAAGTCACCCTGCCTATTGTATATTTTAAATGATAATAAGTTTACTACTGCACAACGGAATAATATTATCTGAATATTATCAATGTAATTAACTCATATATAGAATATCTGATAGTTGTAATTGATTGTACCTGTACAAATGAGTAAACGAAAATTGGAAGAAAAAAGTGATGATTCTACTATGGAGGTAGTAGAAACCAAACGAGTCTTATCACGCTTTAAATCTGATACTGGTGAAGTATTACCAGGTGGTTTGTTGGATTTACCTACGAATGTTACTGTTGACAAGTTACAAGCTATTTGTAATGCACTTTTACAAAATGACGAACCAGTACCCTTTGCATTTTATGTAAATGATGTCGAGGTTACAGACAGTTTGGATAAAAATATTGGTGATAGCTTTTGTACTAGTGAAAATGTAATTGAAATTGTATATCAACCGTTAGCAATTTTTAAAGTTAGAGCAGTTACTCGATGTACTGGATCCTTGGAAGGTATGTTTGGACTATTCAGAACATAATTAAAAATTCAACCTTTACCTTTACCTTTGTTTAATAAGTTTATAAATTAATATATAGGTCATAAAGAAGCTGTAGTATCAGTTGCATTTTCGCCAGATGGAACATGTTTAGCTAGTGGTTCTGGAGACACGACAGTTAGATTTTGGGATATTTATACACAAACACCACATTTTACATGCGAAGGTCACAAACATTGGGTTTTATGCATATCGTGGTCTCCATGTGGAAGCAAGCTTGCATCTGCATGTAAAAATGGAACAATTCTATTATGGAATCATAAAACAGGCAAACAAATAGGTAAAAATTATTAAAAATTCATTACTGATAAAAGTATTAAGAAAACAACAGAAATAAAATATTGATAAATGGCTCTGTAATATTCGAACACTGAAATACTAATCTATTTACTTTTATTGAACATACATTTAATTTGCATACATCTTCAGGAAAAGCTATGTCAGGACATAAAATGTGGGTGACCTCCTTATCCTGGGAACCATATCACAAAAATCCAGAATGTCAATATTTAGTTAGTGCTTCCAAAGATTCTGATATAAGAGTATGGGACACAAAACATTCGAAAACTATTCGCGTTTTATCAGGTCATACAAAAAGCGTAACATGCGTTAAATGGGGAGGAAATGGTCTTATCTATTCAGCATCTCAGGATAGGACTATCAAAGTGTGGAGAGCTGAGGATGTAAGTTTTCACACAAACTATGGGCTGTAATTTTATATTATTAAATGTTTAATCAAAAGTAATATATTCAGGGAATCTTATGTAGGACCTTGGATGGACATGCACATTGGGTGAACACATTAGCATTAAACGTGGACTACATACTTAGGACTGGTCCTTTCCAACTTGAAAAAAATGCAAGTGAAACTGAAAATCTGTTAGAATGTGCAAAAATGAGGTATGAATCTGTTGGTGAGGAAATACTCGTTTCTGGTTCCGATGATTTTACATTATTCCTTTGGAAACCAGGAAAGGAAAAAAGGCCAATTGGTATTATCTATTACTATAGAAACATAATCATTGTAAAACAGAAATATTCAATCATGCATAGATTCTAATTTACACTTTAGCGAGAATGACTGGTCATCAACAACTAATTAATGACGTTAAATTCTCACCCGATGGGCGCATGATTGCATCGGCTTCGTTTGACAAGTCCATCAAACTGTGGGAGTCGAATACAGGAAAATACATAGCTTCTTTAAGAGGTCATGTACAAGCTGTATATTCAATTTCATGGAGTGCTGATTCTCGCCTACTTGTTAGTGGCAGTGCAGATTCCACTTTGAAAGGCAAGTAAATTCTATCAATAAATAGTTTACCTATAAATAATTATAGTAGTAGAAATATTTAGAATACATTAGAAATTTAATCCTTGTTAATGCTTGAACACAGTTTTTATCATACAATCTATAACATTACAAATGTAATGACATTATACTGTTATTTCAGTATGGAGTATAAAGACAAAAAAGCTTTGTCAGGATTTACCTGGCCATGCAGATGAAGTTTATGCTGTCGATTGGGCTCCAGATGGGTTACGTGTCGCATCTGGCGGAAAAGACAAAGTTTTGCGACTTTGGCAAAATTGAAAAATGTATGGAACAATAAATATTTTTACAATGCAATCCTTATCTCGTAACAGATTCTCTATTAAAACTTAAAATTGTTATAAAAATGAATAGAGTAATGGTTGTATAAAATTAATTTATTCCATAGTTTAGAATTTAAATGAAGTAAATACAAAATATAATTTAGTGTTTTGTTCACGCGTTAAACATGTATTTAAGTATACATATAACTATAAATAAATAGCTATATTCTAACCTATGCTAATTTCGAAATTTTCTGAGTCAAACTTTTAGCAAGAATCTAACAATGTTAACAGCGGTTCGCTTGAATCGATAATTAAATACTTAACTATACATTAATTATGCAACAGAAGGAAATCAATATTTATGTATGATTTATTTAATAATTTGTAAGACTAATACATAACCTTACAAAACTAAACAGTGGGAACATATCACCAGAAGGAGACATATACATATATTAATTAAAATTTTGTAATTGTGACGTTATTTCCGTTTGTCGCTGTCATAACAATAACGCATAATAACGTAGAACGACGCAAATTATAAAGTAAGTCAAATATTGGAAGACAAGCGCACACGTAAAGGTATCAGTCACAACATAACCACAAAGTGGAAGTAATGATTTTTGACAATACAACATAACTAATGAAGAAACAATGGATAAAATTTTAACAAATACATTAACAATCTGTCGACGGCTAGTACCTAGATCTTTAGCCACGTGCCAATACCAAATGTAAGCAGACAAAATTAATGAATATAAAATATACATAAAATAAACACACATTCATAGTAATGTTAATATTTATAATATTATCATATTTCAGCATCTTACAAAACTCTGCTAAACATATACACACATATAATACTCATAAGCTAAAACCATGCTTGCTTTCTTCTACAAAACCATTTGGTATTGGTGATATGCAAAAACGTACAATGTTTATACAAACACAAGATACACCAAACCCTAATAGTTTAAAGTTTCTGCCTGGAATTAAAATACTTGAACCAGGCCAAACTAAGGATTTTCCCAATGCCACAGAAGCATATTGTTCACCGTTAGCAAAGATTCTATTCAGAGTTGAAGGCGTAAAATCTGTATTCTTTGGGCCTGATTTTATTACAATTACAAAAGTAGATGAAGATGTTGAATGGAAACTGTTAAAACCAGAAATATTTGCAGTCATTATGGATTTCTTTGCAACTGGTTTGCCTGTGTTGAATGAAGAACGACCTGCAGCAGATACTCGTCAGTATTCTTCTCTTTTTTCATATTTATGTTTTACAAAGTGTAGTATAACTGAACACTTCATACATCATTTATACATTGTTAATTGAAAATTTGATTGGTATATCATACTTTACAATGACAGATTTCATAGATGTTTAAATAAAAAAATACGTATGTACATTTATTTTATAGAAATTAATGAAGACGACGATGAAATAGTGCAAATGATAAAAGAACTGTTAGATACTCGTATACGACCAACAGTTCAAGAAGATGGAGGTGACATTGTGTTTGTGGTATGTACTTGATGCAATTATTATTGTAAAATTGTCACTAAATTAAAAATATTTTGTTGCAATAATTATTATAGGGATTTGAGGAGGGCATAGTGAAGTTGAAAATGCAAGGCTCATGTACAAGTTGTCCCAGTTCTGTCGTGACTTTAAGAAATGGAGTTCAAAATATGATGCAATTTTATATTCCAGAAGTTCTTGGAGTAATACAAGTAGAAGATGAAACCGATCTTGTAGCAAAGAAGGAATTTGAAAAATTTGAAAAAAAGATTGAAAAATCTGAAAGCAATGAGAAAAAGTAGATCTTTTAATTGTAGTTTAGAAATCATGTTAAAGACTTATGTAAATAAATAAATTAAACGTTCATATTTCAAGTCTTTTCTTTTTTTTTTTATTGTTTTACTTTTGTATAAAGTACTTAACGGCTAGATACAGAAACTTGCCATACACGAATTGTGTTATCAGAATATCCAGCAAATAGCGTTTGTCCATCAGTAGACCATGCTAAAGACAGACAATGAGGTGGTTCTGCTTTACTTGTCGCAGATACAACTTCGGGTTTCAATTCCTCTACCATTTCTTTGGTTTCAAGATCCCAAATCTTGATCCATGGTCCAAATGCAGCACAAAGCCAGTAACGATTAGGACTAAAGCAGAGAGCTGTTATTATGTCATTATGGTCAAGTGTATGAAGATGTTTCCCATCATTCAGGTCCCATAACATAGCCTTACAATCCTGTAAATTTTAAAGAAGTAAGGTTTATTAAGGTATTTTAAACAATAAAACTTCTATACTAGCTGAAAAAACTACTTAATACAGTCCTTTTTTGTGGAACATACCTTGCCACCAGAAGCACAAAGGGAACCATCAGGAGACACAGTAACTGTGTTAAGGTATCCTGTATGTCCACTGTGGTTGATTTTTAGCCTGCAGTTTGTCAAGTTCCAAACCTAGAAAATATTTTGCTAATAAATATAAACACAACTAGTTATTATAGCAAACAGTTCACAATTTAGTAATCAGTCCCATATCCGCAAGCACTCATTGATATATCATGTTGTAAAAAAGTATGCATCATATCATATAATTGTAAAATTATTGATATTTTATATAAATAATAATATACCTTGACAAGTCTGTCCCAACCTGCAGAAACTATGATTGGATTTGAATGATTTGGAGAGAAACGTACACAGCTGACCCAGTTTGAATGTCCATCATCTTGGATGGTGTACTTGCACTCTGCCAAAGTATTCCACAACTTAATCGTCTTGTCTCGAGAGCCAGACACGATTTGACGATTGTCCACAGAAAAAGCAACGCTTAAGACATCCTGTTAACATGTACCATAATACAACCAATTAATCAATAAATCCATTCACTGCAAATGAATGCATATACCAGATGTAATCAATACTTACAATACCACAGACTTAATTGCCCACCTCTTCTATTTATTAAAGACAAAAAAAAATATATAAAAAAAAGCTTCAGTATATTTCCCCATCACTCACGTAGTTTTATCTTCTGCCCATGGCATTCAATAAAAAAAATTTAAAAAAAAAAGCTTCCGTTCATCTCATGACGAATGACGACTGAACATCAGAAGAAAAATGTCACACCTTGGTATGGTCTTCGAATCTTCGTGTGGTACGACCTGCGGCTAAGTCCCAAAGACGCAAAGTTTTGTCCCACGAACCAGACAAAGCATAGTTCCCATCGGAGGATAAAACTACATCGCTAATATAGTGAGAGTGACCATATAAGCGTTTTTGAGGAATACCATAATTGGCTTCATCACGTGTTAATTTCCATACTATCAGTGTCTTATCTGCAAGCAAAATTTTGTGCTTTTCACATTGTATGCATACATATACATGTAAAAATAATTCAACTTTTACATTCATTATTGCAACGAACAGTAAAAGAAAGTAATTACTTGAACCGTGATGTTAATACAACTGCCTGTACCAGTGAATTATAAAAACATTTGTTATTTCATATATTAATTTTAATGTAAGTTATTACAAAAATAAATACCAAAGAAACGTAAGTGTTGAATGTAGACGCCTATACTGATGCTACGATTCAATATTTATGTATATATAAGAAAAGAAAATGATTGAAAAGAAAGACTATATGTTACTGAACTTACCACGTGAAGAAGACAATATCATGTCCGGATATTTCGGATTTGTCGCAATTTGAGTGACCCATCCATTATGCCCCCGAAGCGTACCTCTTAGCTGAAGAGTTTCACTCATTTCGTAAACGTTTTAATATATTTTACGTCGCGGATTAAAACGGATCCCGACAAACGGTCCTCATTGAACAAAGCGTTGAACGAAAAGAGAAATATTCCCCTCGTCTTAGGTACGTGCGCGATCATAAATCATATTATAATAGATGCATACCCGAGGCAAAAGAAATTGTTCGTACACTAGTAATGAAAAGCACTAGGCGCGGTCTGATTTCTGATTCGCTGATACATATAATCGCCTCATTCTACCAATCAAAAGTCGTCTACTATTATTTCTGGGTAGTGATCGGCAAAAAATAAAAATTCTTATCTAAATAAAATATTTAAAATGTTAAATAAAATATAATCTCCATTGATATATACCAACTTAACTTCTCAATCGAATAAATACGTTGGTTTTATTCATCGTGTATTATTCAAATAAAATTACCAGAGATGGGCAAAACTCTAGGCTTCGAATAAATTTGAAGTTTGCCGATGTGTTTGTCTCGTTTCTTTCTTTGGAAAATGTTCAAAAGACGAAACGAGACAAACACATCGCCAAACTTCAGATTTATTCGAAGCCTAGGGTTTTGCCCATCTCTGAAAATTACCTATCTTTGCCTGTAGTTACTTTCTTCTTTGTATTATGGTATTTATAATGTAAATTAAGCTTAAGTTACTTCGAGTTGACTTCAGCGACAGTTGCGGAAAAAGTAAGAAACTCCGGGA